GGTTATACGTCGATGTTTCACTGCTAGGTAGCTTACTTCTGGGAAAACTGCTTCAGCATACAGTCAGGGTGACAGTACATTGGTGCTTGGTAATAAGGTCATAGAGTTTGTTGGTGGAGACAAATCTTGGCACTATATATTTAGGTTTCAAGAAGTTTATTCATTACGTTTTGTTTTAAGATAACTCAACCGTATTCGCTTGACTTTTTCGATCAGAATGATCCTGAGAAGCGTTGAATGCATATCAGGGAGACCTGGTATCAGAAAGGGAATACAACTTTGGCACTTTTGCAGGCAGTGCCTGCGTAATCAATCTGAATTTAAGTTCTTACTAAGTGAGACCATGAATCTGAATACTTCCGCTTTGCTAAGTGTTTACTTTTTAGCGTATTTGACGGGGGACGTGACCTTTGCTGAAGCAACCAACATTGCCTATGTTATTCTGAGATGCCAAAGCTTCAGACATCATTAATCTGAGTGCTATATCCTTTGGTCCTGATTCCTCAGATGACAAAGACAACAACAACAAGTGTTTATGTTTAAGTGAAAATATCATTTCATTTCCTCTCCAAAGCAATGAGATGTGTCAGTGAATGATGACGGCGAGGTACGGACTGTGATGACGTAATTTGAAACTCCTCAAGGCAAGTCGAGGTGAACAAATGAATACCACTTTCTCGTCTTGTCTCCAATGTTCAAATGAAAGAACAGTGCATCGTTGATTCCATTACAGAAAACGTAAAAAAGACCCTGTTGGCATCACAGCGAAAATTCTGACAGCCAGAAAAGGAAATCTCTGCTGTGAACCTGAAATTCTTGAAGATTTAATTAGCATTTCACGTTTTGACGTGAAGGGATAACGAATCGTGGGGTACATGACTGACACTGACAAGGGCGTCTTAATAGATAAGTCATCTAAGAGTGACAAGTCGTAAGTCATCGTTCATGGCCTTATCGTAAACTTGAGATTTACCCCTTGTGCAGAAAATAGGTGTATATTTTGTAAAAGATTTTGGTGTTCTTGAACATGAAATTCTGCACATAACTGAGTCTTTAGAATCACTGATACTCCCTCCTCCAAGAACATGATTCCTCTGTTGTAGTGCTAGTGCGATACCTGTGCTTTAATACATGATAATG